TGTCATTCCCGAGACTCGGACTATCACTATACTAAATTTTATCCAAATCGGTTCAGCGGTTTATGCGTGAAGATGTCACAGACAGAGAGACAGATACACTTTCGCATTTATAATATTAGTATGATAAGTGGACAGAGTAGATTAGGGCTCACCTGATTGGAACATAATAATATTACTTTTCCGCGTTGCTAACCCTTTGTGTTGTTTCGACCTTGTTCATCAGTAGTTACACAATAAGTAGCCCAATTACCTTGCTAGTCAGTAGTTTTTGATTGTTAAGCTACCTCAGTTTTTGATCTGACCATTCAGCATAACCCCTCATCAGCATTTCTACTAAAATTATACTATATGTATAAAATTTAGTAAGATTCGAAAATAAAATCATATCATTAAGTAACGTACGTAATGCTTTAGTACTCGTTAATAACTAAAGCCTCTCAAAAACAATATTTGTATTTAAAAATATTCTGACTTCAAAAAAAAGTTTAACAAAATAAGGCCTACATTAATGAGAACAACTTAAACATTATTCTTGAAAAGCAAATTAGATAAAAGGTAAAATAGCTTTTTAAGCGATGTCCTCTGATCGATTTAATAGAGTGATCAAAATTTATTCTGTGCTACCGACAGTAACTTCTCCCGAACATTGTTGCCGAAGAACATTGAAAAGTTTTCTTGTTAAAAGTTCTCTATTGCGGAATGAGAATAATAATTCTCGAAATCGTTTCCTTATTTAAAGGAATCTTACTATTTTATGTTTAACGGACTCTTCGGCTAACTATTGCAAATGTCAAGTTAGTTGATCATTTTAAATCTCTTATTATGTGTAAGTACGATTGATAAAGGCTAATTCTTAGTGTTATTTGTAAACTTTCCTCAAATTTATAGTCCAAATAAATACAAATGGTACGAAAAATACTTTTTTTTATGAAATAGGGGGCAAACGAGCAGACGGGTCACCTGATGGAAAGCGACTACCGCCGCCCATGAAAGCCTGTAACTCAGGCGTCACAAGTGCGTTGCCAGCCTTTGAGGAAGGAGTACGCTATTTTCTTGAAGGTTTGAGGGTCGTATCGGTACGTATCGGTCGTACGGTGTTCCACAGGTTGGTAGTGCGAGGTAAAAAGTGTCTTGAAAGCGCACAACGGTGGAGCGCCAAATATCCAAGTGGGAGGATGAAAATTTCGCCGCGTGGAACGATGGCGGAAGGTTGCGGCCGGTATTGGTCCGAACAATTCCACGGAGCACTCTTCATGATATATACGATAGTGAATGCAGAGCGATGCTACATCTTTACGTAACACCAAGCTACGAGTCGGTCGCAAATCTTTTGGCTATCGACGATTCGAGTCGCTCTTCTTTGGATATGGTCCAGATGGAGAAGGTGGTACTGTGGTGCCCCTGAATAAAGATGAGAATAGTTTTCCATTTGCGGTCGGACTTGCGCCTTATAGAGTTGAAGGCGATGTCCTGGAGTAAAATAATTTGACTTTGAGGCTAATTTGACCTTACCCTCTAAATGACCGCGAAACTGGCCTTCGTTTGATATTTCGATGCCTAGGATTGCAATACTGGCTGAGGCAGTTTGGGAGGTGCTGTCAAACGGAGGTGATACGACAATACGACAAAAACCTCCGTCTTTTAAGACTTAAAATGGACCAGATTCAGTCGACCCCAAGCTGACTCGCCATGACGTTTTCCCGAGAAATATTGGGACGGCCGGTATAAAAGGCATCTCCCGTGCTATCTTCTGCATAGCAATGGATGCCACTAGTTCGACTAGACTTCTTGTTATATCAGAGAAGTCTTTAAATTGAATTAATGAATGAATTGAATAACATTCATAGTTGTGTCGCATATATCTAGTGTTTTCCTTGTCTTTTAAACAATAAAATAAATAATAACTGGTAACGTAAATACAGGGTGTAAATAGGGACATCGTAAGAAATACTAAAATAGTGTATTTAGACCATGAGTCTGAATCGTCAATCATTTATTTATAATTTTCCATTTTTTGGTTATACCATTTTTTTGTTAAAACATACCGCATACACAATGCAATGTAATTGCAATGTAATTAATCAAACAGCCGAAGCGTGCAGGGCCTCCCCTCCGGCTGCCGACTTGTGTTAGTGTGCGTAGACTGATTGTTTAAATAAATTTAAAAATGTACACAGTAAAGTTATTTAATAGAAATTTGAGATAGTAAATAACAAAACTCATGACATTACAACTATACGTGACTTTAAATTGTACTCAATTAGATATTCAAAATTCATTGCAGCAGCCATTGCAGAACGTCGTAAGGTGCAAAGTTGTTCAATATAACTTAGTTCCTACTTCCTTTGTTTATATCGTTTAGTTTACTTAACGAGTGAGAATTTATTCGAAATATATTCTAAAGCTTTGTAAGCAGCAGTAAGTTAGTGGTTTCGCTCTGATAATAATGCAATAGGCACTACTAGTTTCATATGCAAACAAAGGTACAAATACAGAGCCGGACTAAACTATCTATATATTACATACTTTATGCAATACCAAATGAGGATTCAGTGATTGTAGCTATGATATTTAAATATCGCATCGTAGGAAAACAAACTAAACTATCAGAAATAATAAAAATATCAGATTGTAAAAGGCGGTTGGACATTGCCGAAATACGATATCTGAACCATCAAAAACCGGTACTACGTCGCCACAAGTCGCTGGATTGCTTGCAGCCAACAGGAAATGACTAGGAAATTGCCCCATTATGCTTGCAAATCGTGAGCTGCATTCGAATTACTTCTTCGCTTGTAATTTTGCATAGTATGAGGAGGGAGTGGCGGCGCTTAAAAGCATCTACGTACAGATGACGAGTCTTGGGAGACATAATAGCTTACAATTGTGCAATAAAGGCGCATACTTTTGCGGCGTAGTGCTATTTATTTCTGACAATTGATTTATTGTGTTTCATCATCAACAGCTTTTAGTAGTCCACTGGCTGGATATGAGCCTTGTCTTAGACAGAAGGTTCATTTACCTTATTGTGTTTAGGGAGGTTTATTATTGAATTTCACTCCTTTGCATTACAAAAGTAAACAGTCCACTAAGGCTATCTAACACATTTTCATTATTTTTGACTTATATTTGATGAGAACAAACTAATTGTGTATCAATTATTAGTTAATTACGAAAGAAAAATAAACGAAACACAATGCAATTGAATTTAATTAATAGTAAATCGTTTAATTTAATAATTTGAAATTTAGATATTTCAGTTTTAACGTACAAAGTTATACATAATAAATATTTGATTCCTACCGTATCGTCATATCCTATATTGTACTATTAGTACTATATCAGAGCAGCTGTATCAGAATACATCCAATATTTAAATAATAGTGCCAAAGGAAATGAACTCCTAACATGTTTGCTGACCACTTTTGAATATTTAAAAAAATGTAAAATACGACTATGTTCACGTTAGAAATAGTAGATTCCCAAATACACTACACTGCACTACACATTCCCTCCCGAGGTCCGTCGGGGTACCAGGGTTTCTAGGGTACACCTGGTTCCCCGGATACTGGTACCCGAGACAGCGGCGTACGGTTTTTAATCCGGTTGGCCGGTCTGTAATATCCAAGGGAATTTACACACCACAAACATATTGATTTTATGACAGAGTTTATGTTCTTTTGCCTCCTCCGTCTCTCTCTTCAGTGGATCCTATTTTTATATAGAGAATATAATATTACATCTCATAAAGATCTTAAGATTATTAAGTTATGAAATAAGCTTTATAAGTTTCGAAGTTAAGCTTACTCAGAAGTTCTTTTTGCTAATATTCGTATAAGATGCAATATTGTTTGTCTGTAAATATAATTCAACGTCGCTAATATTGTGAAATTCGAATTACTTTAAGAATCTTATAGTAATAAAAATGAGAAGCTAAGATCACACAAACATCTTTTGTGAATTAATAGCCCAATTTCAAGAGAATTTAATTTAGTAATGAATTTCTAATAAGAAGAAAATTAAATCAGACAACAAATATGATAATATAAAACACTAAAATTAAAAATGCCAATCTTACATACAAAGAAACATAATTCTTTTATTTGATCGTATTATTCATAATCGTGATCTAAAAGCAAATGTAATAACTCGTTGGTTATCAGCCAATAATACACTGGGAACGGAGGGGTACGCACGAACAAAGAGCGGGACTTACCCGCCGGAGCCCGCACTAGGGGGTTAAGTGTGCTTCAACACTAATCGCCTACAAGTGGCTCTTTAGAAGATTCCAAGGGTTCTTTCGACGGATCACTATTGCCAGAGAAACACGCCCCAATGTAGGATAATGAATTTACCATAATTAGATTAGCGTATTGAGTCCAAGTAGCAGTATTACAAATATTTGTCTGTGAAATTAGAATGGACATTTTTGGAGGTAATTTACCTAATGTGTCGTATAAAATAACGTTTCAAGATTTGTTGTAGTATATTACAGTCAGTTTATCGCAATTATTTAAATTTAATTTCTAGTAAAAGAGGTAATATGGTAATTAAAATACCTAAAAGTCAAATTACGTGACATCCTTTTGTTTGGGACATGTTCAAAAATCAGGACACCTAATAGAATGAAGTATATATGAGGATAAAAGTAAACATCAATTTGCAACGGTCACAACAACCTTCTCATTTTTACTAGTTCTCCTAAAGACTTGGTCTAAATGGAACATAACTATTATTTTTAGAGGTAGTCTGCTAGTCAAATAATAAGTAAAATTCATACCTGTATTATTAATGTTAAAGCGTGTTTCATTGTTACGCTTTCAAACCTAAATCACTAAACAAATTTGAAAAAATCTTTCTCAAATGGAAAGCTAAATTATCTGCGTTAATCGGCTTACACGCGGGCGTAGCCGCAGGCAAAAACTAATATGAGTTAATTAAAAAAAAATAGGTTTAGACAGCAGATAGCACTTCACACAGCAGGTGATTGTGTCGCAAAAATGACGTCTATATTGAAATGTGTTAACTGTAATATGGTGCTTGACGAAATGTTAGCATATGTGCAAAATAAAATATCTATTGTAGATGAGGATAGTTTAGTGAGAATATGTGTTGCAACGTTTACGAGTGAGCAGATACAAAAATCGTACCCGTTACTGTTTGAATCGCTACCGTCCGATAATCGAAAAACAGTTCGTAAAGGACAGGGAAAAGAAAATCGCATTTTAAATGACATCATCCATCTCTTTAAAGTCGCAGACCTAGATGTGACGCCTGTTTTTGTGGCACGTAACCTGGAAATGTTACCTTCGATCACCTTGACGTGTCGAAACTGCTAAAGGATTTGATAATTGTTCAGGCAGAGATCAAGAATATAAAGGACACTTACGCTACTCTGGAGCATTTAGAGAATTTCAGGAAAGAGTTCCAGAATACAAAATTCTCCCCTTCAGCTTTCTCCAGTAGTAGGCTCAATATAAAGAGTGGGCGGACTATTGATAGTGATCCTATCGATTTATCGGATAGTCACCTCATGCAAAATATCGAAGATCATAAATCCAGTCGCACGGGCTTTGGGGAATCCTTTCAAACCGAAGAACAGCTGAATCATTTTAATATTTCTTTTGCGGGGGTAGTTGCAGAATCAGATAAAAGTAAAAATATGTCGTCTAGATCTGTGGGCTCCTCCGATGCACCGTTAAATCTGACATCATTGCGATCTACTGATAAGGAAACAAGTGAACAGCTGTGCGTATCGGTCAATAAACATAAACAAGCGGCGGCCATTGCGACATTAACTTTACAGGAGCAAAATGAAAATATAACAGGCAACGAATGGAAACTTGTACAATACAAGTCAAAACCTAAAAACCGGTTAGTAGGTAAAATTGGTACGTCAACGGAACAGGGAAATTTTAAGTCAGCCGACCGGAAAATTCCGATGTTTATTACTAATGTGCACAAGGAGACATTGGAAAACGATATAAGTAGTTATATCTTTAACAAAACGAGTGAAAATGTACAATTAGAAAAGATCTCAAATAGAAGAGAGAGTGAATATAATGCATATAAGTTTTTTGTGTCGGAAAGAAAAGTTGGAATGTTTCTAAATAATGAATTATGGCCGCAGGGAATAATTTTCAGACGATTTGTGCATTTTAAGCCAAAGAATGTTAACAGACCGCATAATTCTGTTATAGGCGTTAAATAAAATACAAATGCTTAGTAATAAATCTTATAAGTTTGTATCATTTAACTGTAAGAATATCAAGCGTTCTCTTGCTGATATTCGACGTTTATGTCGGAATGCTGACTTAATAGCTCTTCAGGAGACGTGGCTACTGCCGGAGGAGTTGTCATACCTGAATGAAGTGGACAGTGACTTCGAGTGTACGGGCGTGTCGGCTGTTGATACTGCCTCAGGTATGCTGCAGGGAAGGCCATACGGAGGGGTTGCCATTTTGTGGCGGCGTAGTGTTTTTCGAAACGTGTCGGTCATAAAGTGTGAAAATTCGCGTATATGTGGAATTCAAATAGTGCTGGACAAAAAGTCAATCTTAGTGATAAGTGTTTACATGCCGACGGACATGCCTAAAAACTTGCCCGAGTTCACGGACACTATAAGTACGGTGAGTGCCATTATAGAGAGCAGTAGGATCGAAAGCGTATACATACTGGGGGACTTTAATGCGCATCCTACGGAAGGATTTTATAATGAACTCAGCCATTTTTGTGACGAGCAACAATGGACGTGTATTGATACGGACTGGTTAGGTGTTGTGTCAAATACATACACATTTATAAGCGAGGCGCACGGCTCTAAACGCTGGCTAGATCATTGTGTTGTGACCAGAGCAGCACTGTGCTCAGTAGTGGGGGTGTATGTGCATTATGATGTTTTATGGTCGGACCACTTTCCTGTATTTGTTGAGTGTAATTTGGACATTATCCTACAAAAAACAAGTGATTGTGTTTATTCACAAAATAAAGTAGTGTGGGGTGAAAGAAGCCCCGAACAGATCAATGAATACGGGAGGGTTTGTCACGACAAGTTAAAGCTAGTCGATTTGCCGCGGGAGCTGCTACAGTGTGCTGGTAAAGGTTGTAGCATATTAGAGCACAGGCCTATTATTGATAAAATGTATCATGACATTGTTGTAGCTTTGAGCGAATCAGCGGCTATCGGCCGAGAAAACAAAAAGTGTAGACAAAAGCGTACTGTAATCGGTTGGAATAAACATGTAAGCGAGGCATACAGGGAGGCCAAACACAATTTTTTAACGTGGGTGTCGTATGGTAAGCCAACTGCCGGTAAAATATATGAGGGAATGTGTGATTCCAGAAGAATATTTAAATCCCGATTGAAATGGTGTCAAAAAAATGAAAACCAGATTAAAATGGACATCCTGGCTTCGCATTACTCAAAAAAAGATTTTAAATCATTTTGGAAAGCCACAAATAATTTGAATGGAAGGCCGGGGCTCCCTGTGTGCATCGAAGGAGTAAGTGATTCAAAAGATATTGCGAATATCTTTATGAATCACTTTAGTGTAAAATCGCCGTTGGGACCGTCATCGTGTGGGCTCCATGCTGAGGCTGGAATGGAACTGGAAATAAAGTTCAGTGCTAAGGATATTGAAAAAATAATATCATCGATGTCTAGGGGGAAGTCACCCGGCCATGATGGCCTCAGTATTGAGCACCTGCGGTACGCGGGTTCCCATCTACCCAGGACACTGTTCTTGTTGTTTGCGTTGTGCATGAGTCATGCATACCTACCTGTCGGGATGTTGGGAACGCTGGTTGTACCTGTAGTTAAAAATAAAACTGGCGACTTAAGCGACAAAAATAACTATAGGCCTATATCGTTGGCGACAATTATATCGAAGGTGTTTGACGGTCTGCTTAACACACAGCTAAATGAATATATACAACCACATGACAACCAATTCGGGTTTAGGCCCGGATTGTCTACGGAGAGCGCTATTTTGTCTCTTAAGCAGACTGTCAAGTACTATACGGATCGGAAAACGCCCGTATACGCTGGATTTCTCGACCTCTCGAGAGCTTTTGACCTGGTTTCATACGACATTCTATGGAAAAAGCTGGATAATGCTAAATTACCAAGAGAACTACTCAATATCATCAAGTTCTGATATGGAAGCCAGGTCAATAGTGTCAGGTGGGCAGGGGTCAGATCTGATGCGTATGGGTTGGAGTGCGGGGTGAGACAAGGAGGGTTGACATTGCCCACGCTCTTCAACCTGTACATGAATGAGCTGATTGAGGAGCTTAGCGGCACCAGGATAGGCTGCCACATAGATGGAGTGTGCTTAAATAATATTAGCTATGCGGATGACATGGTGCTATCCAAGTGTTTTAGCAACTCTTACACTTTTACGATGTAAGGAATCAACATAAATCTTCATTAATCATCATCACCAACCAGAATATTACAATCCACTGTTGGTCATAAGCCTCGAGCATAAGACACCAATGGCCATCGGTCCTCCAAATAATGTGATCAGCACATTGACTCACCATGTTAATTCTACGAGGATTACCTTATTTCTTTGTAAAAATAAATTTTAATATTCTAGAGGCAGAAATAAATAAAGTGATCACTAAGAAGACGATATATAAATATTATCATTTAGTTTCCATTTGCTTTATACGATAGATATCATGTGGAGCGAAATTAAACTTTTAGAGTTAGTCTCAAAACAAAATTACATAATTTAGACATCAAATAAAAGTTAATAAACGGTTTATTCAAATTAGTTTTAAACATCAAAGACATGCATACGAATGAAGATAACAAAAATGAAAGAATATTTTTGTATGTATAAATAATGTATTAAGTCATAATACATTCATTTAAAAAACGCCATAAAAGATATTTTAACATACAGGTATGAATATTCAGAAAGTCCAACAAACCACCACAAAAGTCTTTATGAAAGAAAACGTTTTCCAGTCATAGATAAAATAAGATTAAATAGGAATAAAGCGACAAGGTAATATGTGACTTATTTGCTCAGAAAAACGACGGTTTATTCATTTAAAAATGTTTATAACGTCTCTTTTGATCTTTGCATAATAATCAGCATAAAATGTTATACCTTTGAAGTGTTTCTTTGCACGTTTGACTTTAATACGAAGCAAATAAAGGCCTGTTATACACATTAATATGTACCTATTCATGATTTTAATTTTATTTATTTGTGGGTTTTCTGTTATATTTGCCATCCAAAAAGCAAAAGATAGGTGCGGTATAATGATCAAAGAAATATTTCCAGTGGGGTCCAAGTCCTATGGAAATTTGAAACATCAATAGTAATAATTACGTGACTAGAATATTTATTTCTAGAGTCCCCTGTGAGTTTAATTTGCTGTAAGCAAACGGGACCAGATTCATACATGCAAAGTTTATCTCTAAATGCATACGTTTGGACATTTGGGAATACCGATTTGCATTTTTTTTTCTTATGCTAAGCAACTTGATTATTCATTCTAAATTTTACGCTTTAAAAGGATGTGTATAGTTTACCATAAGGAAATGATTCGATTGAGGCTTATACATAATCTTAGTTCTTTTTAAGTATATTCTTAGCAATATTTTAGCGCATTATGTTAGAAGGCTATTGCTATGGGGGTTACAACTGCCGTTAACCATTTTTAAGGTTTTTTAAATTTTGTGTTGTTATTAACACATTAGGATAGTGTATTGTATCAATAATACGGGGAAAGTTTTTACATATATATATATATATATATATATATATATATATAATTATATATAATTTAGACATGAGAAAGCTGTTCGCGCGTCGGATGCCACGTTTGCTCACGTTAGACCAAAAACGTGTCCGAATGAATATTTCCAACGCTCTGTTGGCGCAGTTAAGGCGCAAACAAAAATACAAACAGTGGACTGCAAAGGGGCACCAGCTCCAAAAAAGGCAAAAACTGTTTTTTCGGCTGGGAAAGTGATAGCGACTGTTTTTTTGGGATAGTCATGGAGTTATTTTAATCGATTATCTCCAAAAACAAAAAACCATTATAGAAGCATACTACGCATCATTACTTGACAAGCTGAAGGCAGAACTTACGGAAAAACGGCCACATTTGCAGAAAAAGAAAATCCTGTTTCATCAAGACAACGCACCGTCTCACACTTCAGGGGTTGCCATTACTCACCAGATCTATCCCCAAGCGAAAAATTGCGCTCGGAGGACAGAGATTTTCGTCAAATGAAGAGGCAATCACCTTCGTGAACAATTATTTTGCAGAGAAAAACGCCGAGTACTATTTGGACGGGTTACAGAGATGGGAGCATCGCTGGGAGAAGTGTGTAGACTTACAAGGAGAATATGTTGAAAAATGTTGGTCTTGTATATTTGTTAGGTCGGAAACTATTCAGACCACCCTCGTACCTCGCATATACTTTGTTTATTTACATATACATATATATATATCCGTATAAATATTTATATATATATGTAGCACTTTGTAATAAATTTTGTCAAGTGCTTACACGTAAGTCATTAAAAATGCTCTGCGTTGTTATCTTTAAAGCTAAAAACTTCTGTCCTCGATAAGTCTCTATTACCTCTTTTGTGTGATAATTGTATTGTAAGCGATGCGTAAACCGTTAACGTTATACGAGTATGCATCCGAGGGTCCGTGTGGTGACGGATTAGGTCCGTGTTGTGACGGATTAGGTCCGTGTGGGGACGGATTAAGAATACAGAGTGTCACCACCCCTATTCATCGAATGGGTGTCGTAAGAGCCGACTAAGGGAGAAAACTACGCAGAACAACAGCACTGCAGAGAGAAGGAAAACTTGATACAAACCCTTTACCAACCCGTCTGGCCAGCGTGGTATAGTAGGTCAAAACCTCCTTTCTTAGGAGAGGCTTATGTCCAGCAGTGGACTATTAAAGGCTGTTGATGATGTGATGTGAGTATGCATAAACATAACTTGGCCTCTTGTAAATAATTAGATCGTGCAACTGATTATAGGTACTTATCTATTCCTTAAGTACCTCGAAAATTTTATTTTCCCATTTTTGTTTTATTGGTAAATCTAGAAGTTGCAATGAAGTGAAATACAATGTGTTGTATTTCACTTCATTGCAACTTCTAGATTTACTAGTTAATTTATTTTGTCTTGTAATCGCCTGTCAGGAGCAAAACAGACTGGGTACGGAATAGATTGTTAATACCGAGACTTTAAAAACAATAGCCACTGGACATAGCTTACGATTTGATAACATACTAATATATTTTCCATTTCAATAATATAGAAAGAATATAAAAGCAAAAATATATTATATCCACAATTTACAAACCTCTTGCTGGCCATTCGGAATACTCAAAAGATACGAGTGGAATTTCTCCTGTACGGATTTTACGAGAAACCCTTGAAATGTTTAATTTGAATTGTAAGGGGACATTGCTTCCTAGCAATAGTGTATTATGTCATCTCAATATTATATTAGAGTAATATTATAAGTTATTCAAATGTAACAATACGCCTATGTGAACTTCGGTACTATGGTATTTTATTTAAGGGTCTAAAATTATAGAAAATAAAGGTTAACTACAGATAGTCTTATAGAAGAACCGAGCTGATAATGACGATAGTTATAACTACTAGCAGTATATATATTTATTATTTACACATGGAACTCATATGCAAAATTAAACTAATATAATAGAGTTGATGAGGTTTTTGTTTTTTTTGCAAGCGCCAAAATCTGTAGCTAGCGGTCACATTTGAATATTTATTTTGCACTGCATACATTTTGCATCGAGCAAGAATTTACATGCTCATTCAAAATCTATAGATATATGTTACATCATGCTATGGTCCTTAAGAGTGAAGTAGATTTTTGGAACGAAATTCTGAGCTGCTGGGAGCGAGACCGAAAAATGTGTAAGAAGCCTTTTTCACACACACTTCAGTTTTATATTAATTATTTGTATACACTTTAATCTATCAATGTCACCTTCATTAACGAACTAAAATCTAATTCTTGAATTTAGAATCAAAATATCGAATTAACATTCACAACGCATCTAATGTCTTGACGCTCTCAGCCGCTTTGTTAAGCGAACTATTTCGAATCAAACATTCATTTAATCAAATGAACATAACAGCTACGTGTTTCGCGTGAAGCTCTAATCAAATCTGGTGACTTCGACACTGCGTTACAATAAAGCTGAGTCATCATTAGGCGTAAATAGCAAAGAGTTTGTATTCAATTGAGTTATTTAAAAGGCACATTTTATTTTTCGTACAGAGTGTCACCACCCCTATTCATCCCAATATTGTCGTAAGAACCGACTGAGGTAGCAAACTACGCAGGACAACAGCACTGCAAAGAGAAAGACAACTTGAAACAAACCCTATATACCAACCCGTCTTGCCAGCGTTGTATAGTAAGCCAAAACCTCCTTTCTAAGGAGAGGCCTTTTTTTTTTGTGGGACTAATCCCACCCACACGCCCACCACTGTAACTCCTGTACACCAGGATCCACAGCAGTGACCCACGAACACACCGAGTTATGACACTCGGGAAGTCCCAGGAAGAAATTAAACTGTCTTGGAGCCCGCAACGAAATTAATCAGAAGAAAATTGGAGGAGTTGGAAATACAGTAAATCCACTTCCCTCCTTAGCAAAGCGGGAGACAAAATGAAGTAAAATAGGCATACACCCTTTTAAACAGGGAAGCACCACGGCCACAAAATATTACGGGTCCTACATGAGCTATATTTGATTTCTATAATATGTATGGCAGAATCGCCTAAACGCACGGAAATTCACCCTAGTTGACACAAGATCCCCATAGTATACCGCCCCAGATGTCACCTGCAAGCTATTCAGCATTATATTACGTTCATTATACCAAAGACTACATTCCCAGAGGATATGATGAGCAGATTGTTCATAATGAGAGTTAGGTGTTGAGCATTGACACAATGGTGACTCGACTAATTTAAATGAATACAACTTGCTCTTAAGGAGAGGCCTATATCCAGTAGTAGATTTTAATTAAAGGCTGTTGATATGATGATGATTATATTTTATTTTCTACGGGCAAACAAATATGCACACCCCCTACATAATCTTTAACACATTCTCTTTTCACTGCTTTAGGTTTCATTATTATATTAAAGTATTAAAAGGTATGTTACCACTAAATAAATTGCTTTCAAATTTCCTTTTCAGCGGACCCCATCTTATAATACTAAAGATCGCCAGTTGGTCTATATTCGACTATAATTTATCATGTTCAGATAATTTTAGAAAGTTTTATTAGCCAGCATAAATTCAATTGAATAGGAATAAAAGAAAGGAAAGGCCTTTATTTACATAACAATTTAACATAGGTACACATATTTAAACACATTTTGCTTCTTGTAGTTACGAGTATTTTCACATAATTATGAAGAACAAGTTATCGGATGTATTTTTTTCTTACGAAACACATTGGAATATAATATCATCATCATCATCATCAACAGCCTCTAATAGTCCACTGCTGGACATAGGCGTCTTCTTAGGAAAGACGGTTTGGCCTACTATACCACGCTGGCCAGACGTATTGGTATATGATTTGTGTCAAGTTTTCATTCTCTTCGCAGTGCTGTTGTCTTTCGTTGTTTATTCTCTTAGTCGGCGCTTATGACACCAACAGGATGAATAGGGTGGTGACACTCTGTAATTTTTTTAATGTCTACACCGTTTGAAATATAATATACAGATTAAAAAATCCTAATATTATATTTGGAATTTTATTTGGGGTTAAGAAAAGATCATTGGGTATTTTTAACAAGAATGTTAATGTGATATTGATATTTTAAAGTTCAAACATACAAACCAGCCTAGTTCGAACATACCCTATTCGTTGGCATATTCATGGAGTAGCTCATACAATTTGTACGCCACACGCGTGCCATACAAAGGTATCATTAGTAGACCATAGACAACATTATATGGTGTAAGATAT